ATCATCATTCAATTGCATCAATCATTGCATTTATTTTATTTATTATTAATACGATATTAATTTATTTTAAATATTATTGAATATAATTAGAAATAAAAAACAATATTTTTATTTATATTATTATTTAAAATTTTGTAACAGGTATCTGTCATATTTATTATTTTTAATAGATTATTATATTAATTAATAATCAAACAATAATTATTCTCATTTGTATCATCATTCAATTGCATCAATCATTGCATTTATTTTAAATATTATTGAAAATAATTAAAAATAAAAAACAATACTTTTATTTATATTATTATTTAAAATTTTTTAACAGGTATCTGTCATATTTATTATTTTTAATAAATTATTATATTAATTAATAATCAAACAATAATTATTCTCATTTGTATCATTATTCAATTGCATCAATCATTGCATTTATTTTATTTATTAATAATACAATATTAGTTTATTTTAAATATTATTGAATATAATTAAACATAACAGAAGAATACTTTTATTAATATTGTTTGTTATTTAGTTTTATTTTCCAGCAGGTGTATCTTTGGTATAATTTTAGTTTTAGAAACGTTCACGTAACGTTGAAACGAACAAGTTTTCATCAAGAGAACTTTAGTAGTAGTTTTTCCTTTTAAAGGGAAAGCCATATTGACTGATAGAAAAAGAAAGAAAACAAGAATCCTGTGTTTGTTTTTTTTTTCTTCAACTCGTTTCCGGTGATCGTAAAATGCCATGATTACGACGTGTAACTTTGTCACAAGGAAAACGACAGGGAGGGTGTTAATTGATTAGAAATTCAATTTAAATTAATCAAATGAATGTTTCTACCAAATTTTTTAGTTTATTTATTAATCGACTTATATAATAGTAATTTTTTTTTTTTAAATTATTTCAAATTTATAGTTGAAAATATTTGATACCAAAAAATACAAAAAAAAAAAAATGCACAAAAAGTTAATAATTAATTTGACGAGAAGGCCAACCTGTTTCTTATTATTAACATATGACATTTCAACCGATCGAGTTCATTTCCAAATAATTCTGTAAAGGTAGGGTAGGGGTAACAGAGAGGAAGTGAGAAAGTAAAAAGAAAAAGAAAGAAAAAGGAAAGGTTTAAGTTTTAAATAAGGAATCAAGTTGTTTACTAAACTCGCTTGTACTTCGGATCAACCAATAATTTTGCAACAAATACGCCAGTGTATATAAAACAACACAAAACAAAATAATTTTTTTTTTTTAACTTGTAAACTTCGTAAATCAATTTTTATTCTTTTATTTTAATTTTTGTTTAATAAATAATTTTACAATAAATACGCGAGCGTATATAAAATAAAAAAAACAAAAACGTAATATTTTTTTTAAATTTGTAAACTTGGTAAATCAAATGTTATTCTATTTACTTCTTTTTTTTATTATTTTTTTTTTTTTATAAATAATTTTACAATAGACACGAGCGTATAAAATAAAAAAGAATAAAAAATTCCTACAACTTTAAATAAAAATATTTTATTCAATGGAGAATCAAATTTTCATCAATTGAATAATCAACAAAATATAATAATTTATTTTAGTAATATTTAACACATTTTTTTTTTTTTTTTAATACAAATTACAAAACACTCATGATAGGTGTACTGTTAATAAATTATTCTTCCTATAAAAAAAAAAATTATATAAAATAAATAAAAATAAACAAACAAACAAACAAGTGAATGAGGCATGTGTTTTACACACCAGTGTATAAAATTAAAAAAAAAAAAACAAATTAAAAAAGAAAACCTAAATCAGATCATTTTCCACATCAAATTTATTTCTAATAATTACCCAGAAACAGATAGTACAAAATATTGTTTAAAATTGTTTAATAGAACTTTAAAAAAAAAAAAAAAAAAAAAAAAAACCAACTAACGTTTAACAAGTGAGGGATGTGTCTTACACAGCAGTGTACAAAATTAAAAAAAAATATTAAAAAAGAAAACATAAATAAAATCATTGTCCACCAAATTGATTACTCCTAATTATCTAGAAACAGTTAGTACAAAATAATGNCCTAAATCAGATCATTTTCCACATCAAATTTATTTCTAATAATTACCCAGAAACAGATAGTACAAAATATTGTTTAAAATTGTTTAATAGAACTTAAAAAAAAAAAAAAAAAAAAAGAAAAACCAACTAACGTTTAACAAGTGAGGGATGTGTCTTACACAGCAGTGTACAAAATTAAAAAAAAATATTAAAAAAGAAAACATAAATAAAATCATTGTCCACCAAATTGATTACTCCTAATTATCTAGAAACAGTTAGTACAAAATAATGTTTAAAATTGTTAAATAAAAGTTAACAAAATAAACAAAAAAAAATCAAAACCAAGTAACGTCCAGTCGCATTCCAAAGAAAACTTGATTTTCTCAGTGTAAGTTGCGTTTAAGAGTTAGGTTCAGTTGGCTCGTTGAAAAGATTAGATTTGCGGGTGGATGGGGGGGTGAGAGAGAGAGAGGAGAGAAGGAGAAGGGTAGGAGGGGGTGGAGGAGAGAGACAAACGAGGGAATACGACTCTCCTTGAACGCAAAAACATAGTCCGTGCACTGGAGGTATAATACACCCTTTCACCGGGCGCGAAGAAACCAAACCAAACGAAACCAAACGAAACGAAACGAAACGAAACAAAAATAAAAGCAAAGAAAATAAAAGAAAAGACATACTAGACACTTCGTCTATGGTTTAAACCATAGTTTCGAGACTCTATTATATTTCGTTGCTGTAAATATTGCATACAAACTTGCATATAAGAGATACAAACAGACACACATGTGCAGATAGGAGGTTAGTGTATGTAGTTGGACATATATTGTTACACATTGTATAAAGAGTTGTATATATAAGATAGACTATTTTCTAAGACGTTGGAATGAACGCACTGTGTGTTCTTTCTCTTTCTCTCTCTTTTGTAGAGAGGACAACTAGCCTAAGCTAGCTTAGGTTTATTCGCTAGCTTGCCTCGAGATAGCCTCGAGCATTCTCAACAGTTCTTGCTAGTTGCTTACTTACAGATTTCTTATCTTCAGATATTATATATTAAAAGAGATTGCTTTATTTATATATATATAGTTATATAGTATATTAATATTTATATATAATAATAATAATAAATAATATAATAATAGTATTAATATACTAGTAATATACTAGTATACTAGTATTAATATGGTATGTATACTATAAATACTAGTAAAATTATATATTATATGCTAGTATTATATAATATACTAGTAATATACCAGTATACTAGTATTAATATCGTATATACACT